CACTTATTATTTACATTTTTTCATTTCTCATACTCTCTCTCTCTCTCTCTCTCTCTCTATTTGTTTTTTTTCTACTTAACCGATACAAATATAGAATATCTTATAAAAGATGGAAAAAAAAAGATAATTGTGTATCTTAATCTTTCGCAATAATTACGTAAAGATTCAGTAGCGTCGTCGCACATGGCCCAGGAAAAGAAAAGTCAGGCAGTGTCTGTCTGTACGCGTGGCCGCTCATGAATCGGATGACTGTAACATCGAGGAAAGTCCGGAAGGCACGAGTCGTCTAAATATAATCCATCCTTACCCTCTTTATACTCAGCACGGTGCGATACGGTATGGTATGGTGCGGTATGGTGCGGTGCGGTGTGGTACAACGCGGCGCCCTGATATTGGGGATTCTCTTCTTCTTTTTCTTCTTCTCTTTCATTCTATTTCTCTCTCTCTCTTTCTCGTTTTCTTCTTCTTTGGTCTATATAATAAGGTGTCAGAATGATTCGAAAATCTTGAAAGAGATGAACCATGCCATTGCGATTAATTTCAATGCAATTAAAAATGATGGATTTGGGACGGATTAAAGAGGGAGGTTTGCTAGCTTGGTGTGTGTGTACAATTCATCTAAGTATTTCTTTTTTAAAAATAGTATATCCGTATCGTAGCCCTACATCCGTAAATCGCTTAGAGAAAGAAAGTTCCTCTAAATATAAATATAGCCATCCATTGGTAGAAACTAACCGGCTCAAAGTGTTCTGCTTGCGTACGCGAGAACGTTCAAGTTTCTTAGCTTTATTGGACGAAATAAAGAAATATTGCGACATAGTGCAAGAAATTGCACTATCCAGTAAATACGGTAAAAATATGCTTAAACGTTTTCAAAGTTTCAACATATTTTAACAATTTCCTAAGATGACCTAATTTCGTTTAAGAATTACGAGAATGACTCGGGAAGTTTTTAATACTCGACAAGGGGAAAAAAACATTTGTTTTTTTTTTAGTCTTATTTAAATCAAATTCTATTTTTTCGTGTTAGGATCAAAAGCTTTTGCACTCGCGTAATCTAACAACAACAAAAATTAGATAAGCTATAAATTAAAACTTACGCGACAAACGCAAAAATAGACTTCGTTCTTTCTTTTTAATATTTCGAATATTGATCGTCGTGTTACATCTGAACGTTCCAATTTCTTATCTATTCCTTTATTTTTTTCTTTCTTTTTTTCTTTCTTTTTCCTAAATAATTGTACATGAAAGAATTGAGAATACTCGGCGTCAAAGGCGTTGGTAGGAATCGTCGGTGGTAGGAGTGTCTTCGAGTGGATGCTCAATTAGGACCCTCGCGAAGACATTTATCCGCAGGCAAGCAGGCAAGGCAGGCAAGGCAGGCAAGGCAGACATCCACAGGGCAATTATTGCCTTTCCCCAGTGGCTCCGTTTCTATCCTATTCTCAACGGTATATGCCTATTACGTAGTAAATATGTATGTATATGTAGAACGGAGCCGGTCTTCCGCGTCGAAGAACCGAACTCGCTCGTTTGAATCATTTCCACCCGCTTTTTTCTGACAATGAGTGATCTTCGAGTCTCGATGAGCCGTAAACTTTCTTTTTTAACAGGAATTACCATATCCATTATATTCTTAAATAATTTTCTCTCTTCGATAGTCATCGTCATTATCATTATCATCATCATCATGATCATGATCATCGTCATCGTCATTGTTGTCGTAGTTGTCGTCGTAATCGTAGGCGTACCAACAGTCGGCATTTCGCGTCGTCTACGCGTCGGCGTATGAAAGGAAAAGGAAAAATGCAACTTGCTGATTTATGCGCAATTCTTCTTTTCCCTATTTCTCTCTCTCTCTCTCTCTCTCTCTCACTCTCTCTATCTCTTTTATTTCTTCTCTCACTCACAATCTTCTCTCCTTCTTCTTACTTTCAGCCGGTCCGCTGGGAGAAGCGAAGACGTTACCATAAGGGGACATCTCTGACCATCTTTGGATCTCGAGTCCGCTCTCTTTCTTTTTCCAACTGGTTACAACTCGACCCTCTCGTATCTTACCATCTTCTTTCTTCTTTCTCTCTCTCTCTCTCTCACTAACTCACTTTCTCATATCCTCGCATCCTTCGTGAAACCGAGACTGCTATTTTTAATTGACTCGTAATATGGAGAATCAAAAATGTTCTTTCCATTTTCTTCTTATTCTTATTCTTCATTTTCTTCTTCTTTTTCTTACCTCACCCTATTGGAACGTATATACACCACCACCATTACAACCACCACTTTCTCGGGTTTTGATTTATGCGAGAGATAAAAGATCGACGATATCATCAAAAGTAATGGTAAAGAGAAAAAGATCGAGGAGACTTTTCGAGTCGTCTCACGATCTTCTCGTTATCAGAATTCACTTCATGCACTTTCCTCTTCCCTTTACGAGTACCTCTACCTCGATTCGCTTTTCTCGTTCGCGTGAGAGATCTCGATAGAAGAACGAAGAGCAAGCAAGTTTGCCAACTGTGGTTACTGGAGGGGTGAGGGGAGGGGAGGGAGAAAGTGAGGTGAAGAAAGAGAGAGAGAGAAGGAGGAGGAGGAGGAGGAAATGGTAGAGAGGTTAAATAAAAAGACCGAAGACGTCGATCGGCGCGAGCCAATGTACTCGAAAGACACAGAAGGAACGCATTAAAAAGATCGCGCCATCGCCATTTACGGCTGTCATCTCGCGAAGATACTTCGTGTATACAAAAGAGAGAGAGGGAGAGAGAGAGAGAAAAAGAGAAGAAGGAAGAAAAAGAGGGAGGTGAAGTAGAGAAGTCCATCTTGAGAAGCTGCAAACCGATACGAGAGTGCTCGTTACGAAGATGTAACGCCAATACGATAAAGACCCCTAAGAATCACTTTCGATAATAATAATATCAAAAAGAAACCACAGTTTCTTTTTTTTTCTCTCTCTTTTATTTTTTTCTTTTTCACGTAATAATCACGAAACGAAATATAAACAATTAACATATGAAAATATTCTAACACAAATCTTATTATAATATATACATATTATTAAGTATTATTTATATACACTATTATTATATATATATATAATTTAATTCAATATAATTTGAAAACGATTTACTTGAAGCCACAGAGACGGACACCAATACGCGTGCGGAAATATTCTGTTGTAACACTCAACGTTCACCACCGAGTAAACCTATATAGATACACACATGCGTGTGTATGTTCAAAGAGGGACGCACACGCACGTGTGCACGAGAGACGTGTGTTATGTGTAGTTATAGGAGCCGTCAACGGGCACAAACACATACAAACACAGTCCTGGCTTACCTAGCTGTAGCGCGCGAGCGCAGAGCACCCGGGAGGATATCATCGGGTGAGTCATCTCGTTCCCTCCCTTTACTCTTTGCGTGCGTCCACACTTTCTTTACCAATACAACACAACGGAGAGAGAAAGAGGGTCGGTGGTGGTATCGGTACGTCGACGTTTCTACTCCCCCTCTCACCCTTTCCCTCTTACTCCACCTCTTCCTCCTCTTATTCGTTGTGTCGCGTCGTCATCATCGTGGCCCGTGCAAGCACGCTCCGTTTTCTGGGTAAAAGCCGACACCGACATGGAAACAAAAGAACACTCTTTCTCTCTCTCTCTCTATCTCTTATTCTCTCATTCTCTGTCTCTCTTGCTCTATCTCTCTCTCTTTCTCTTTTTATCCACCTCTTTCTCCGTGGTATCTACTTGAAGCGCGCGCGTGCTGTAGAGTACAAGGTGGTAGTACCACACCACTGCCCATGACCACCGTGGTCACGTTTCGTGGAAGCTTCTTTCCAAAGGAGAGTAGTGTCCCTTTGTGTTATAAGACCACACCGAGTATGAGTTCCGAACGTAATTCTACTATAAAGGTACAGCTAGCTAGCACAAGCTAGCTAGCTAATCTATCTATCTACGTATCGTTGAGATATTCGGATAGCAATCGTTTGAAATAGATCTCATGTTATTTCTTTCTAATTCTTATTTTCTTTATTGTATCCGACTCTCTTTCTCTCTCTCTCTCTTTTCTTATTCGAATTGTCGTAATTAGTCGAATGTTGTGGGTGAGCGACCGAGAAAGTGCATAAGTTCGTGCCTATATTTTATGTATGCATATATGTATGTTGGGTGTGTGTGTGTGTGTATGTTGTACATATGTAATACCTGTTGCCCGTCCCTATATTTGTACCATCGTTCGTAGCCATTGTTGACACGTCGATAACGATCTTTAGCGTGCAAATATATCGTATTTGTAAAGTGGAAATACCGTACCAGGGCGGCCACCATCGTACGAGGAAAAAAACTGACATGTTTTCTTTCATTTTGTTGTAACGATTCGATAACACATATAAAACGTTTTCTCGATAAACTTTTCTTTTCCATTTAACTGGAGGGGGATGAATCTATATGCATAAGGTAAATACGAAATATTCTCGAAAGTCGATTCGAAGAGAATCGTTTCCTGTGTCAATGTCACAGATTGGGTTCACCGCTCCAGACTAGAATACAATTCGCATAGGCTCGCATTCGGTACACGCTTCATCGCGCGCGTTAACGTCAACTCCGTTTCGCTCGACGTTCGAGAATAATTATTCTACTTCATGAATATGGATTACAGGGGAGAGATATGACTTCATCGGTAGCTATAATGGTTTCTACGGGGAAATATCGTAGATCCATTTGTGTATATATATATATATGAAATAAACATAATTATTACTTAAGAGGGTTGCTGCTTCTCAATATCCAATTAATTTTCGAGAAAGACGAATTTCAAGCCCTATTAACTAAAGTATACATATTTGTGTGTATTAAATAGAATGTTGAAAATATAATAATAATAATAATATGTTTCCCATGAGTTATCCACTTACAAGTGACAAAGTTGTTGTATACAATTTGTATTCTCGTTTTTGTATTTTCTAGTTTTTCATGATCGATCATAAGGCTTTGCTTTTGTGTTGCGCAGGTCGAGAACGTGAATTTGTGCGTGGGAGCGCTCCGAGCGCTGGGGGCAGACGTGGGGGCTGTGAATCCTGGAGAACTAGCGGCAGGATCAACCCTTTGGCCGGTCCTCGCCCTGCTCTTCGCCCTCTCGCGATACAAGCAAAGAGCGAAACAACTACAGGATATGCCTAGGTAAATTCATCGGACTATTTCACTTTCGAGTCGGTAACGTAGAAATCTTATTTATTATACCACGAAAGTTTCTGCAATACCGACGCATATAATCGGTATAAAAGAACTCTTTCGTATTAACGATATTTTATTAACGACCGCTAGCAGAAATCCTATCTTATCGACACTTAGTAGACCAACATGATATAGTCAAAATGAAGCACAGAAAAGTTGGCATAGAAACTTAACAGCAGAAAAAAATCTAATGACGTGAGCAAAATGAAAAAAAATGTGTAATTTTAAAAATCAATATATTCATATGATGATTGGTTGTAAAAATGTTAGTAAATTATTGTCTATAAAGTTTCTAATTTCTAAATTTACAACCCGACATGATATCTCTTTTACAAACATTCTTGTACGTTATGACTCTAACTCATACTATACTTGAAAAATAGTAATTTTTTGTTTTTTAAATAATAAATAATGATAGAAATGTACTTTTACATTAAAAAAGAAAATTGAAATAGGTTATTTCGTTTAATATCCCGCAAAGAGAATCACGTTGGAGTTTGCACGATAATTTAAACGAATCCTAAACGAATAGAAAGTGGATCGAAGATAGGAGAACTCTCGTGTCGTTCTCTTGTAACAGTCCTCCTTTCCTAGTTTCCAAGATACAAACATGTACAAGGATAGTATCCTCTAATTATGAAGAAATTAAATAATTCCGGAGCTTTACTTTTTTCAAATGAAAGGGCAAAGGATCAAAGATACTCGTTCACAATTATGTTCGTTTCCATCGAATAAAGACAAAGAAGTTGGCAACCTTTCGCCAGAGTTAATTTTTATAGATTCGTTGTAGACAAAAGAGGGGGCGGTAAGGGGTCACCCACGCGACCATGTAAAAGAAAGAGAGCGAAAGAGAAGAGAAAGACCTTCGAGATGAGGAAGCCAAAGAACTTCGTAATGCTGTAAACTAGGCATGATTTAGAAATTTGACTTGTTCATTCGTAGAAGCAAATCAATTTATTCTCTAGCCCTCTCCTTCTCTCTTGGAGTAATTTACAAGGAAAGATAGGTAACGTTTCTGCAAACGAATCTTGAAGTATACCAGCTTTCAAAAGATCTGGTCGTAAGCTTTCCTTTTCTATCGCAACGGCAGATCGATACTCGCAAAGGTTTCTTTGGTTTAACGACCAAGCGCGCGAGCGGAGTGCTCATTAACGCTAGCATTAATCGACCCGTGTGCTTCTCATTCGCACGTATTAAAACGCATGTACGCATTCTTATAATAAAGTACCTGCGTGCATGCGTGCATACGTACGTGCGTGCGTAGCATAGCATTCCGCCTCGAAATAACGAGTTTTGAAAACGAGGTATTTCACCTTATTTCTCTCCCTGGAACGATTTACGCATTTTATGTCAAAATCAATAGACACCTATATATATATAAAGTATATATATATATATATACTTTACTAACACATACGTGGATAAGGATATACATACGGATATAGATGGAACAAGATTTATTCAAAACGTGCCAAATGGCTCTGTTCAATCGGCAAGCATTCGGATGTGAACAATCAGCTAGGTGTAGAGAGAGAGAGAGAGAGAGAGAAAGAGAGAGAGTACTTGAGCCTCGATGAGTGATATCGCAAACGGTTCTACCTAAAAGGTAAACATTTGAAACATTCGGCGACAAGTCATGACGATTGCCAAGAGGAGGAAATCCTGCGAATGAAGTAGAAAATATCTCTCGCACGAGGTACGCCCACGCTCGTAATAATAGTCTTCTACTTCTCCTCCTCCTCCTCCTCTTCCTTTTTCTCTTTCTCTTTCTCTTCCACCACGACGGGGAAAAAGGAAGGAAGATCACATGCGCATGCGCCTAAGCGAAGGAGCGGTTTGTTAGCATAAAAATGGCTTTAAAATTGCCAGAGCAGGGCGATATCGAAAGCGCGAGGGAAAGGGACATGGTTTGAGAGGTGCTACTGACCGAAGGAGGACGAAGGAGGACGAAGAAATACGAAGCGGTCAGAAGGGCAGAAGGCTGGAGGAGCGAACCCGCTGATCGCAACTGAAATTCAACGATTTAGCCAAGGAAATGGGGATTCGGTTAGAAAAGGTAGGATGTATAGATAACGTTACTAGAGAGATGAAGATGAAGAAGAAGAGGAGGAAGAGGATGAGAGGAAAGTTGGTGCATTGGAAGCATGCAGCAACAGTAACAGCAGCAGCAGCAGCAGCAAAGGTTGACCGATGCTGCAAACCGAAGGAGAGAAAGAGAGAGAGGGAGCTACGGTCGCAGGAGAGAGGATGCAGGATAGCGGAACTAGCATAAAGGGGGATGGTGGGGAAGCTCGATGAAGCTCGAGCGGGAGAGAGAGAAAGACTCGGTCAAGAGAGAGAGAGAAGCCACGTGCTACGGGGGAACGGGAATGGTGTTCTCTCGGGCCTCAGTTTGAAACGGGCCATCAACGATGCCTACGCACCATGGCCGCACCATGAGCAGTTGTACACAGTCCTATTACTCCTGCTCTCGATAAAGTTTCGCTTCCCGTTTTTTTTCACACTCATTTTAAACGAATTTCATTTTTCTTCATTAACCGCGAAAATGTTCGGTAGTTGGCGAGAAATAATATCTCGTTATCATCGTCATCGTCGAATTATCGCGATCATTGTGAATACTCGGTTAAATAGATAAAAAAATTTGTTAATCGTTTTAAACGAAATGCATTCATCATACTGGAACGCTCTTTTGCTAAAGAATAAACGAAAACAAAGTAGTTCGATACTTTTTCAATTATCCGATTGCAATGGAGCAGCATCGAGTGTGAAGTGAGCACATATAGTGTGCTGCAACTGATACTACTACTACTACTACTACTACTACTACTACTACCTACTACACTACTACTGCTGCTGCTGTTGCTGCTGCTGCCTTGCTAACTCTCGTGTCATTGTATTTGTTCGATCACGCTCATCTTACGCATCATTGAAGTCGTAGCCGTAATTATCGTTGTATCTAAACCTTTGCGAATGTGTTTGACCGCCGCGTTTGACTTCGAGACTCGATCGATCGTTCGATCTGTAATCGATGTCCTCGCGATCATTCGCTTTGTCCACGAAGAATCGTAGCGTTCGGTGATAAAACGTGTCCCGAGGCAGGCGTCCTCTCAATAATAATGGGTAACAGTGGAAGCAGCAGTAACAGCAGAAAGGCACGAAGCTTGCCGAACTCGCCGGAAGCTCACAGGTATTTTATCCTTTTACATTTTCGCGCGTTACCATCGAAAAATCTTCCTCGCTAGTTCGAAGAAAAACTTAGAAAATATGTATAATGTATGTAGGTACATATGTGTATATATCTATAGATCGGTACATGTGTATACAATATGCCCGTTATTTCTTTCGAATATTAATGTAATCCTATCCTAACGAGCGTTCTCATTTGTTGTTGTCCTTTCCTTCTATAACTTTTGACTATCACAATAATAACGGTACGAGTAAAAACCTACTAGAAATAACAGCTGCGTTAGACGATGATTATAATGTGAATGTCCTTTAAAAGCTGAACAACGTGCAGCTGGTGATCGAAACTATTTAACTCCTGTTCCCTCCCTTCTACTCCAAGTTTTTTTCTTATTAGTTTATACGATATAACATAGGATGACATTTTTCGTTTGTGTTTAATTTATTCCTATATAACCACTACTTCATACTTCCTTTCATCATTAGACGCGTATTGTTTCTTTGTTGTATCCACAGTTCGAGAATATATTATTTTACCTTACGAGGTACATAGAATTGTATAATTTGACGGTCACATAATAATATTCTTTTCATTCGTAAATCTTCATACATATATAATCGTTAATTATGATAATGGACCAAGATAAAAAAAACAAATTGAAAAAATTAATCTTATATACAATATATAATCTATATTACAATACATAAATATATTATAATATACAAAATAAAATCTATTATTTAATTACCGTTTATTGTGTAATACTTATTAACACAAAACAATCGAGCGTTAAATGCAAATAATCCGAGTACGCTCACGTTCAGTTTCAATATTTCTTCGTATGAAAATATATGTTTCTAATTGTGAACGTGATAATAGTTTTTTTGGAAAAATATCAGCATCATCATCGAAGTTTAGTATTTAGTATTCTAATTCTTTGTTACTCGCTGCTAGCTTTCAAAGACAGCTCTTTTGTGAGAGACAGTTGGTGATTGTAAGGGGTTGGTGCATGGTGGTGAGGTAAGGGACGCGCGGGCGTGGGCGCGTAATAATCGAGCTACGCAAAGTCCCTCTGCTACGATCTATATTGAGAAGGAAAACCAGATCCCTTTCTTCCTTCCTCTTTCATTCGTTTGCTCACTTGCTCACTCGCTTGGCTCTTGTTGGAGGGCCTCGAGAGGACCGGTTAGACCTTGGCCGCCGTCGTCTTCATCGTCATCGTCGTCGTCGTCGTCGTCGTCGGTGTCATCGTCATTGAAATACGTTCGAACTCGTTTAACATGCTTTTCAAATTTTTAAAACTAACTCCTATCAGCAACATTCCTGGACACACACGAGAACAACTTATCTCACGTTGTTCTTTTCAAATCTTTTAATTTTTTTTTTTTTTTGTAATTTTTCCTTTCCCTTAGTATTCGTTTTCTTTCTTTCTTTCTTTCGTATCAAGTCATCGTCATGACCTGTCGTGCGTCATAAGGAATTCTCAGCATGCTCCGATTGTAGGATTTCTATCGGTCGACCTATCGACCCCCTACAAAATTCTCAATTACGATGACGAGCACCGATTTGAATGCTCGGCATGTCAGTTACGTTGGCACGAGTTGTTTCGAATCAATCTAGTCTCGTTTAAAATTCCAAACGGAATGTATGGAAGGAGGACGGAAGAAAAAAGGGAAAGAAATTTCAAATGAAAAATTGGCGAACAAGTTCTAATGGTTACTATTACGTTTTGTAATCTTCCGCACGATTTGTTGGCTGGATAGCATGTCGAGATAATAGAAAAGAAGATGAAGAAAAAGAAAAATAAAATAATATTTATTATAACGGAACGCGCGCGCAGCAGAAGTTTTCAATTAAAAGGATATTAAACTTAATCAATATAAGCGTGTTTTGGCGTGTGAGTATAAGAGAGTGAGTCGACAAGCGTAACAAGGAATGAATCTTTTTCTCCCCTTTCGTCGCCTTTCGTGTCGTCCTCGAACAACTTTTTGTCACTCGAGGCCACTCGATTTCACTGATTTATGCCCGGGATTTGTGCGATTATTTCACGCTACTCTCATCTCTTTCTTTCTTTCTTTCTCTCTCTCTCTCTCTCTCTCTCCGTCAGCGCTTCTCTTTATTTAGCGTGCGAGTTCAAAGACATCACCGACTCTGAGAGTGACTCAATGTTTTCGATGTGAATGGTCGCAGAAATAGATCCTTCGCAGAAAAAGAGAGAGAGAGAGAGAGAGAAAAACTCATACGAATGAAAAAGAGAGAAATAAATAAAGAAAGAAGAAGGAAAGAGAAAAAGAGAGGAGGAGATATCTCTTCCTTCAAGATCGCACGTTTTAACTGTTGTGTATTGAATTCATTTATAATCGAGCAACACTCATTCGGGATTTGCCCAACGAGTAATCAAAAAAATCTTGTATCATTTCAAAACAAATCTCCGTTATATTATGTTTTTTCTTTCTTTTTTTTCTTTTTTTTTAATGAATCTCGCGAACGTAAAAAACATTGTTTTTTTTTCTATATAAAAATTTCATTTTCTTCTTCGCATTATTTTCTGAGCTAATTATCTCATTAGACAAAACTTTGAAGAGAATAGAAATACTAATATAAACAATAGTGGTGCAGTAATTTACTTTTTTTTTTCTTTTTTCGAATAACATTTTGTAAAGCTACAAAACGCATTATAAGGAATGTAGGAGCGCGGAAAGAGAAACGAAGAGAGAGAGAGAGAGAGAGACGCGCGTGAGCATATTGCCTTGGGGTTCTTTTAAATTAAAACGCATCGAGAACTGTAGTAGGACATTACGACATTGCGAACAAATTCTTCCAACGCTCGACAAAGGGGAAATTTCATTTGGAAACATTTTCACGATCGTTCCTTATTCCTCTTATTAAATAAAAATTGAAGAAAATGTGATATGCAATTAAAATGAAAATGAATGGTGCATCATATTGAAGGAAGCAATTCACATAGAATGAAGAAGTTATATAAAGTGAGTTATTCTAATTAAATTGGAGCACGATGTTTTGTATGTTGGACGTCTATCAAACGATGATGGCCAAGGAAATAACGTTGTCATTATGAACATTTCAATATAATGAATATATTTAGCTTTAGAGATGATGAATAAAAAAAGAAAAAGAAAAAAGGCATTCGTTCTAATTTCGAGGATAGTCAATCTAATAAAAAGAGATAATTAAATGGAGAACAAAGAACAATGATCGTCCCGTTCGGGCCTGGATTCGATCGTCTTGTCGTAACAAAGTCCAACGAATAGCTTATCTGGTCCGTTGAGGGTGAAAAACAACGATGAACCTTCGTTATAATAGCATCATCCGGCGTAGGTAGCTAAACGGCTCGGTTTTCCTAGAAGCACTCGGTCTTTTTTTCTTTTTTCTTTTTTTTTTCTCGAGATTATCTAAATTTATCTCTCGAGAGCTGAAACGCAACGTGCAACACCCGCTTTCTCTCTTTCTCTCTCTCTCTCTCTCTTTCCCTCTCTCTTAAACTCACTTCTCCTTCGTGTGCTTTCTCCGTCGTCGTCATTATCGTCTCTTCTCGTCGCAAAACTGGACTCTCGTAAAACCGGCCTTCGTTGCTGTCTCCTATCACCAGCAATTATCCCCAATATCTCGCATGGTTTACCGTTGCACCGTTCCGCACCGAGCAATTCGACGAATTAGACCAATCGAACGACTCTGCGATCGACAGGGTGTGACGATATACGTCTCTCCTTACGTAAACCTACCTTTCCTTCCAACAGATTCAACCAAGCTCGGATAAATCTTTTTGGATTTGGCATTGAGTATCATGTTTACCGTAATAAAGTGTCTATCTCTTAATATAATTTATTATTTCCTAATAGAAATAAGGGAATTATTTCTCGAATTTAATTGACCGATTCGAGGAACACTTGTATGAATCTGCAGGGGAAGGAGGAGGGTGTCTTCGATGTTTTCGAGTAGAAAGAATGCGCAAGGTGTGTCCCTGCCACGAATGTTTCTCGACTACGTGGGTGTCCGATATGCGTTAGCTTTTCATGGTGGCTCGTAAATTAGGCTCGCGCGTAAAGCGAGAAATAAGAATAGATGTTTGGTGTCAAGAACGTACTTGTCTCAAGAGATATGCAAGATGAGTCTCGGTGCCGAATGTCTAATCGCTACCCCCAAACGTCCACAAAACAAAAACATCACTAAAAACAATAACTTCGTTTAGAAATGTTGAAAGAACCGATTGTAAAATATTTTCTTCAATTTCCGATCAATCAGATTACCATCACCGTACAACAAACAATCGGGTGTCGGTGGTTGTGCTGGGGTTGGTCCAGGGAGTGCCACGAGCATACCCTTACCTGCGACGGTGGCTGCAACGAGACGATGTCCTCCAGACAAAGTAAGACCAGTTCCAACTCCCACGCATCAGTCTCCTCTCGGTAAGTTTATCTATTTCTGTTTATCTAACTTTTTACTCTTTTGCACTCTTATCTTGTCTATCATCCTCTATAACATCGCCATACAATGGGGATCATTATTCACGAGAGTCGGAATTATTCTCGGGGAGAGGGTTTTTTTTTTTTTTTTCTCGAAAAATCCACTTTCGACTAAATAACGAGAACGCGATATAGGATTCCCGATGAGAGGAGGGTTAAAACAAAGGCACGTTAGCGCGTTGCCACTTGACTGGTCAGCCGCAAGAAGAGCACCTTAAATATCATCGAGCTTGAAGCAGTAACGGCATGGGCAAGGCAAGGTGAAAGCCTGCTATGAAATAAAAGGCACCAGGAAAGCCGCAGAGAAAGAAAGAGAGTGAGAGAGAGAGAATAAGGAGGGGGTTAGAGAGGGAAGGAAGGAGAGGGAGAAGGTAGAGAAAAGGGAAGAAGACCAACGAGATCATATTTTCTTTCTCTTTCTTCCCTCCTCTTCTTTTTTTTTTTTTTCGTCGACCCTTCTTCATCCTATTCGCGCAAGCTGCTTTTAATGGAAAGTCATTAGCAGCTGACTCCATCCAACGGTTACTACGGGCGAGAGATATCGTTCGAGCATGCTCTCTTGATGTTGACGGCTCGTCTGGTTGCTTCTCCGACTCGTCTCTTCCGTCAACAGGCTTCTCATTTCACGATATTCTCTCTTTCTCTCTCTCTTTCCCTCTCTTGACTCGCATGTTCATCTCTATCATCTCTTTTGCATTAACTGTCAGCCGAATAGAACAGAACTTCATAGATCTTCAAATGAAACGTAATTTTTGATGATCCTACTATCAATTTTCTGTCTATCATTGGGTCAAGAAAAAATCGTTTGTCTCGATAACGTTAATTAGATATCGAATATTAAGTTAGCAAAAATTAGCAGAATTAAGAAGAGGCCACTAACAACCATGGAGCCTACGAATGGCTTTTAGCAGCAACCCCTTGCGCGTTGTTTCTGGCTGCTGCAGGCAAACGTTCGGACCACCATGGAAACCGGCTATAGGGAGTTACGGGGGTACGCGAGAGAGATTCGTCCTCTTCTTTAAATATATGGACTCTCACGTACTCCGATCGTTTTGCGACTACCGCCTGCACGTGCTATATTTTGTGTGTATCTGCGTGCGCGCGTGCGTTCCCCCATTTCGACTCGTTGCGTTGCTTAGCCCATACGCACTGGAGATATTACCTACATCCATTGTGTAGGTGAACGAACGTTCGTAGGTAGTTGGTACTCGCAGGAGAGAGAGAAATGGGGTGGCACCCCATACTTTATACTTTACCCTCGACTCCCACGTTTCCAGGGCACCCATGGCCAGATGTGCAGGCCGATTTACAGTGGTACTCAATTCTCTCCTTTCTCTCTCTCTCTCTCTCTCTCTCTCTCTTTTTGTTATTCATATCCGTGATAAATCGATTCGTTCCAGATCATTGATCGTGTAATAACCGATAAAGATGAGCTCGTCTTTAAGATGCACGTATTATACCGGGGATAGATCTATTTCTCATTGTTCAAGTTGGAAACAGGGAATATATGATGAAATCATAATACCCGCGAATTCTCTGATCCTTTGTTTACGTGGTTGAGCGTCTCTATGAGAGCCAAGGCTTTAAGGGGATGCGGCTATGCCGCTGTAGCTCTATCAAAGTGCGCGTGCCTAGTGTGGCCCCTCCCCCCCCTTCCAAGGGAACTCTGGATACGGCAAAACGGAGAATGCGTTTGCTTCGAAATAGACTCGCGGCCTTTCTAGCAAGAGAATATAATAGAGAGAAGCGCAAGCGCGGTATCTCGGTTACCCGTCGATTGCACCTCGTGTACCTCATTTCCTACATATACGGATTATTTCACCAACGAACCAACCATTTTTTTTTGTCCTCATCTTCTTCTTCTTCTTCTCCCTTTCATCTAGTTTTCTTTGCAATTTTACTGAAGCAAAGTTTCCTAGCCTGGTCAATGAATCTCTCTCTAATTTGTGAAGTGATTTTTGAAAAATGATCTTTGCCGCAGGTTTTGAAAAAAAAAATAAAAACATTCGTATTGAACTTCAAAAGGAAGTAATTTTGCCCAAGCCTGTAATAGAAAATAACCCTTTAACCCCCAGCCAACGCATCGTTCCGGATTCGAAAGTAAGCTATTCGTTGACCTCGAAACAGAACACACGACGGACAGCTAACATAAGATAACTCCTTTGAGAAGTGTTAAAGAAAAAGTCAGGTCCCGAAGACCGAATGCAAACTCATCGCGTGACAGACGTTTATTTTAATCAACCTGACGCTAAACATAAATACATATATTTACGTTTGTACGCGCGAGATGTATTTGTAAATGCGAGATATATTTTTACTAAAAATCATTAGGACCGTTTTATTTTTGAATAAATTTTAAACAGATTAGATAAATAGTTATTAAAGCCGGAGAAATCATTTTTATCTCTTAAGATACTACGAAAACGAGATACTTTGCTCTGCTCTTTGATGTTGATCAAAACTTTTCATCCATGAACCACTACAACCACCACCACCACCATCACCACCACCATTTGAGTTAGCCCGTAGTATGTAGATGTGAATATGCGTGAATGAAGAAAAAAAGAAAAAGAGAAGAAAGAAAGATCGGGTTTGGTAGAGATTCGTTGTGATCTCACCTTAAGCTCGGTAATCCTATAGGAATCTACTCTGAAGAAAGAAACGCCAAGGGGAGAAAATGTGCTGGCGTATCCGTCCGCGATATATACTGTCTTTCGTTGGTTCCTTCTTTCCGTGCAAACGGGGCATGGTGGAAAAGAAAAAGAAAAAAGAAAAAAAAAGAAAACAAGAAATAGGGAGGAAAGAAGGCCAAGAAAGACAACGAGAGAAAATTCAAGTCGTGAAATCACGAACGCGGGCACACGTAAGACTCGCAACCGGTCTTTAACCCCAAAAAGCGAACGAGGAATATCAGTGATTCTCACCTCTCGTGATAAAACCTACCGCAAGTTAGGAAGAAATGAGAAGCGCGAATAAAATGATTGTATTGCAATCCTGTTTCGCATTTTTATTTGTTTCTGTTGCATTAAATCTGAATACCGTACACTATTGCAAACTTTAAATATTAACAGTAAAATTCGTATGACCGATGATGGGATTTTGATCACAAAAGTTTTAAAATAACATTACTTTCGTGTAAAATAATTTCAAATAAAATTGAATTAAAATCAAACGAAAATTTATGGGATTAATCTTTTCAATCGATATTCAATGATCATCGATTTAGTATAAAAACGATAAAGAACCACTGACCGAATGTTCAGCGACCCTTAAATCTTGCTCTCTCTTCCTCCCTCGTTTTCTTCAAACATGCACACAAGCATACACACACACACACACACATAGAACTATTCTTTTTCTCTCGGGGTGTTCCTTTCTCTCTTCCTTTCTCCCTTTTTCATATAGGTTAAAAATACTACCCTACACTAATTTTTCCTCTACCGGTTTGGTGCTACAGGTTTCGAGAATCTTACTGGCGATGATTCGTTCTCGCTGGGCGTGCAAAGGAAAAAAAAAAAAAGGAAAAAGGAAGTCGACTCGCGACACGAGAAGAGAGAGAAAAGTCAGGGTCGAAGTAACTTTTAGCGCGAAATACGGACTGCGACCGGTTGCCTTGGTTTTACAGGATGATTCAAAAATACTGCATAAATAACGCGTTTATTATTAGCTTTTCGTTTCCTTTTCACGTTTCTAAACTTTCTTTCATCTCTTTTCCATCAATCGATATCGGTAAGATCATCGCACTAAGGTGTAATTGTTACAAAAAAATTATTTTTGTTTCAATTTTATAAACGACAGTAAATAAGTGTATTGAAAATAAA